AAAAAAAAAATTTAGAATCAGAGTGTTAGAGTCAGCAAGGGACCTTGGAGGTCATTTGATCCAAAGGACTCCTTTACACATGGGTAAACAAAGACCTACAGAGGTGACTTATGCAAATCGTATGTCACAATACTCCCACTTGTCCTTCAACTATGCTGTATATCTTTCACTATGCCACACTTACACCCTAGAACTGAGCTCTATTTGTTTTTAATTTTTCTATTTTAACATTTTTTAAAGTTTATTTGTTTATTATGAGAGAGAGGGAGAGAGAGAGAGAGAGAGCAGGGGAGGAGCAGAGAAAGAGGGAGAAGGAGAGAGAATCCCAAGCAGGCTCTGCACTGTCAGCGCGGAGCCCGATGCGGGGCTCGAACCCACGAACCGTGAGATCATGACCTGAGCCGAAGCCAAGAGTCAGACATTTAACTGACTGCGCTACCCAGGTCTCCCTCTATTTTAACTTTTTAAAGAAAATGGGAGAAAGAGATTGATATATGCATGGGAGGAGGTCTATTTAAACTCAAGAATTTCATTCATCAAAAATTGCTAAAACCCTGCCACAGTACCATGTGGATTACTCTGTTCTTTCTAGCAACTGCAGATGTTGCTGCTGGACTGACTTCTACATATAAACACTTTACTAATAAAGTGTTGGATGTATGGCCTTTCATTAATTCAAAGCAAAGAACGTAAAGATGTGCCCTAGGGACATTGAGTGCCCTTTGTGGAAGAAAATAATCATGATTTTCAGAAGTTTTGGGTAGTTTGAGGATGACGTTTCCGAAGTATACATACTCTCGGTGATGGATTTAAACGTACTAGTTATGTTTAGGAGTCATTCGCTTACTCTAGAAGTACACTTCATTAAAATGCTCAACTCACACTGGATCCTCACTGTTCTCTCAACATACCAGACATTCTTCCGCATCACCGATGTCGCATGTGCTCTTTCCTCTGCCTGAAATCTCTTCCCCCAGATACCCACGTGATGCCCTCCCTTACCTCACAGAGGTCTTCATCCAGATACAACCTCAGCAAAGTGGCTGTCCTTGACCACTGACCTTTTGAGCTGCATAATTCTGGATCGTGAGTGGGGGTCATGGGCCTTGTAGGATATTTGGCGGCTGTCTACACTGGATGCCAGGAGCACCCTCACACTACCCCTCAGCCTCTACTTCAAGGTTGTAGGCAAAATCCAAAAAATGTCTCCAGACATTTCTGAAGTTTCCCCGAGGGGCAAAATAGCCCCCAGTCTGCGACCCCTTACCCTGCTTTATTTACATTGCGTGATTTTACAGTTCTACCTCACGATATATGTTATTTGCTGTTTAGTTGCCATTAGAATGTGAGCCCTTGGACAGCAGGACTTCCTTTCGTTGGTGGTGATGGCCCCAATTCCCAGAACTGTACCTGGTACAGTTTTAAAGTGACGTGTCAGATAGAGGGGCGCCTGGGTGGCTCAGATGGTTAAGCGTCCGACTTTGGCTCAGGTCATGATCTCATGGTTTGAGAGTTCGAGCCCCGCTAACGGCACAGAGCCTGCTTCTGATCCTCTGTCTCCCTCTCTCTGACCCCTCCCCTGCTCTCCCTCTCTTGCTCTCTCAAAAATCAATAAGCATTAACAAAATTTTTTAATAAAGTCACATATCAAGTAAATTAACTGCCCAGTATATTTTCTTGAACAGTGCTGTGGTCCTCTTGAGTCATTTCTCTATTGAGATCGTATCCTTTTATTAGAATAATTAAATTTACATATGAAATTCAATGGGGACCTAAGGAATAAGAAGGATTGTTGAACAGGAGGTGTTTGAAATTGCTGGTGAAAGTCCAATTTTTTTTTAGTTAAAAAAAATATGCCCGAGTGATTACAACACCCAGGACATTAGCCCTCTTTCCCAGCAAATTAACTTTTGGTCATTCATCAGTCCTCCCCCCAACTCCTTTTTTTTTTTTTTTTTTTTTTTTTTTTGAGAGAGAGAGCATGAGCTGGGGAGAGGGGCAGAGAGAGAGAGAGAGAGAGAGAGGGAGAGAGGGAGAATCTCAAGCAAGCTCCTTGCTCAGCCCAGAGCCCCATGTGGGACTCAATCCCACAACCCTGGGATCATGATGCGAGCGGAAATCAAGTGTTGGACACTCAACCGACTGAGACACCCAGGCACCTCAGGTTTTTTTTTTACATTTTTAACAGTTTCAGACTAAAGATACGTATTTTCAGCACTTAAGAGATATACTGTTAGAATTGTCCTAGCACAAAGATAAAAAGATTATTTCTAGAATCGTGGTAAATATTTGTATTACTTTAGGACTGCATTTATTTTTATGAACTCTATATTTGTCTTGGATTAATGTTTATTTACATTAACTCTTGAAAAAAATTGGCACTGGAGAGAGTGGCTGAATTTCAGGTGTGCTGTGTAAGTAATATTATAAAATATTCTATTGGACCGATGGAAGAATGAGGGGCATAAAAGTTTTAAGTAGGTACCGTAGAAATTGTTTTATGCCATGGCAGCGTTTTCTTGGTGTAGAGTCTATTAATTTTTTTTTAAAGTCCTGTCAGCTTCATGATTTAAAAATAAGTTTATGAGACAACTATGCTTTGTTAATATTAGGGCTACTATTTGTAAGTGAAGCTACTTATACACTGTTTAAAATACAGGAAACATGATGTAAACCCATGCCCTTTGAGTTAAAAGTTGCATTTCCCTTTTAAACAACCGTAGATAACAAACAGTAACAAGAACAAACACTATATTTAGGCAAGCTTATGAACCAAGTCTCAAATGAAGAAAAACACTCTGATGGTAAAAATACTCACAGATTAATTTATTTCTCCTAAATTTTCTCCTTCCTCGCCTGTCCTCCCTTTGTCCAAAGATCTCAACAGCAATGGATTCATCTGTGACTATGAACTTCATGAACTTTTCAAGGAAGCCAATATGCCATTACCGGGATACAAAGTGAGAGAAATAATTCAAAAACTCATGCTGGATGGTGACAGGAATAAAGATGGGAAGATAAGTTTCGATGAATTTGTTTATGTAAGTATGTGAAAATCCCCCATTATTCAGAGTAATGATTATTCCTTTGTCTAGAGGGATTTTCTGGTAATAAGTCCTCCCAAGTCCCTAAATATACCGTATTCGTCTTGTTACAACTAATGCAATTTCTCTCACCCCACCAAATCGAGTTAGTTCTTTTAGCCGTCGGAGTATCTTAAACCGATCGAGAAGAAGAACACGGACAGAATCAAAGGCAGAACTCACGACTCGCTGTGAAATGCGAACCGTTTCCTTTGGGGGCATCATTAAAGGGCATTTTCCAAGGTGCTACGTGCCACCCTTGAGATGCTCCGTCTCCCGTGGGGAACGGTGTGCTCCCAAATCTTAACGCTACACCCTGACTCACAGTCTTGGAAGCTTCCTGAGTTGAAGTTTCTGATTAAAAAGATGTTTCGTTCTCTTGCGGTGGTAGTATTTAAGTGTGCCATTTTCTCGAGGATGATAATTTGGCTAATTAAAAGTTAGAAGCGTATCTTTTGAATCCCAAGCACGTAGTTTCTAGTTCTGTACTCAGTGCTTGGAGAGTGTATGCGTAGCTCTTCTGATTGAAGCTTGATGCTTTAGCTGCCAGTGGGCGAGGTTACCTAGGCCATTTTCCATCCATATTCATTGGCAGAGTATTTGAGATGTATATTAAAGAATAGCGGTTGCCTCTTCCCTCAATTAAGAACGCCATTAAGATTTTATTGGTTTTAGGGGCGCCTGGGTGGCTCAGTCGGTTGAACGTCCGACTGGCTCAGGTCATGATCTCATGATTCATGGGTTCGAGCCCCGCATCGGGCTCTGTGCTGACAGCTCAGAGCCTGGAGTCTGCTTCAGACTCTCTCTCTCTTGGTCTCTCTCTTTCTGCTCCTCCCCCACTCACACTCTGCGTCTCTCTCTCAAAAATAAATAAGCATAAAAAGAAGTTTTTTTAAGATTTTATCGGTTTTATTTATTATTACTTGAAGGCTGAGTTTGACTAGACCTAATTAGGCATTCTTTTCACTGTATCACAAACAGGGAATTCGTGCCTCCTGTTTATCACAAACTTCCTAGCACTCTTATCCTCCTACCATGGTAACTGAGGCTCAGTGTAGCCAGTGAAATTCTGGTATATTTTCTCCCATTAGAACGAACCCCTTTAGAACACTGTCAGTGTTCCAGAAGGAAATTGACTAAGTAATGATGCCTACTGAGCTGGTAGCATTTTGTGGGGGTGCTACTGTTTTAAAGATGTAGACGTGCGTCATAATTATAATGGTATCGTTCATGCCGACTTCTTTTGAAATGCTGATTTCCTCCCCACTGTTTTTGTCCTCAGTTATTGCCAAAGCCTTTTGTTTTGAATTCCGTGTTCAATAGTAAGTTGCATGTCCTCTGATGTGTAACGTGCTAGCACCCCTTACAACTGCATGTTGAATTGTGAATTTAAAGCAGCATAGAGCAGTAGTAGTTAACTATGACCGGTTATTTTCTGATAGAATTTACTGCTTAGAATTTTGATCTACTAGAAAGAGCAGACCTAAATCATTAAGATTTGCAGCGTGCCAGTATTATTAAGGATAGAATTATGAAAGTGTCTTTGAGAAAAATGACCTCGGGGAAATATTTAATTTTGTATATTTTGAAATGTGGCAGATTCTGCACAGCTGTTTGAGGCTTTTAAAGTGAGGAGGTTTGATTACCTTACTGTATCCTTAAAAAGTAAATGATATGCATCATAATTCTGGCATCGCTAGGAATTTTTTAAAAATATTAATGAGCGCATTTTATGTTCGTATGTACATTTTAAAATTGGAAGGAATCAATATGCTTATACGCCTTCATTTTTCAAATTAAAAACAAAAGCCTGGATTCCTGATAAAAGGAAGTAGCTTCCCGGACTTTACACAGGGGACCAATGCTTTTTCCAGTTAGCTCCCTTCTATTGAAGAAATTTGAAATATGAAGGACAGTAAAATAACTTGCCCGAAGTTTCAGAATGATACCAGCATGACCGTACTGAAAGTTCGATGTCCAATCCAATATCTATCCATTTCCATCTGCTTTGTCACCAGTGAGACATCTTAAAAATTGTCAAAATATGGGTAGATCTTAGTTATCCATGAAAAAGGAGGCAAGTTATTCCTGGCAGGTATTAACATAAAGCAGTAGAAATAAACATGTTCGTGCATCTTAGGGTGTTTTTAAATTACTGCATAAGAGGTATTAATTGCAAACCAGCCTACAGATAAAATCAGTTTATGTTAATTTCAGAGAAGAATGTATATATATATATATATATATATATATATATATATATATATATATATATATATATATATATATATATATATATATAGGCAGAAAAGAGTCCCTAGATTATATGTAAACTTCACACATTCAAGTTAAATTTAATACTCTGATTTTGTTTCTTCTAAGTATTTCAAAACTAAATTACTGGATTTTTATACCTACAAGGTTATAGTGGGGTTTTTCCCTGCATCTTTAAAAAGACTGGCATGGCAGTTTCTTTCAGCAGAGATGTCTGCATTAGACTCTTATTTTCACAGTGAGAAACTTGGTCTTGCATAATGGTAATAAGTTGTTGACCTGTTTTAGGACTTTTGCTAATAGCGCTGACATCGCCAGATTAAATAACTTTACCTAAGTGCTTAGAACAGTGCCAGGCACATAGCAAATGTTATGTAGGTATTACTTGTTGGGGGTTGCTATTTCTATTTAAAAAAAAAAAACAAAAAACAACCAGTGTTCTTTTCCTATTATTACTAAGTTTGGAAACTTCTTAGATCCCCCCCACACACACACACAAAGGGAAAAATTCAAACGTATTACTTTGGAAACACTTTGGAAGCAAGCCTCAAACCCTGGAAGCCAGTCAATATTTTGCAATTCTTTCTGAAATCTTTCCTTCCGCTTCAGTCATTCGTCTGGCCACTCACTAGTCCCGCACTGAGCTAGAAAGGTGACGAAACTTTAAAAAGGAATCAGACACAGTTATACAGTCCATAAGAGACCCGCAAAGACGGATAGGAGCAGAGCCAGCAGCTTATACCCAGAGCTTCTGCGCGCATGACAAAGCCCATCCCTCCTCAGCAAGGGAAAACAGCTCGAAACAGTGAGCTCATTAGTATCACAACAGGCAGCTTTGAAAAGATTCATTGAGAAGACAGAAGCTGGCCTTGTGTTATCTCTGATTTCTGAGATTCTTGTTAAGCCAGGGCTTCTACTCAAATAGCGTTATCACCTCCTGCAGTGAAGCAGTGTAAGATACGTAAATCTTCAATTATCCCTTTAAAGTTTTTTTTTTTTTTCTCTCGAAGGCACAGAAGAAAATACCATGAACCTGAAAATTTGAGCTTGGCTAGGATAATTTATTTAAAAATATTTAGAAGATGAAGGTCATATAACCTTTGGAAGGCAATTAGAAAGTTTAATTTTTAATCGCAACTTTGCTTTCATTCCCAAGCGTGAGCTTAACTAGAGCTACGTAAGTAATTGCATGAGGATATGATAAAGCAGGCATTCTTTTTGTTAACTCGCTATTTATATTATTCCTCTTTTCCGCGATGTATATAAATTCGGATTTATTTATTTTTCAGCTGCAAGTGTGATCATGGAAATCAGCCTAATTTTTATTTTTATTTTATTTTTTTTATTTTAGAGAGAGTGCGAGTGGGAGAGTGGGGCAGAGAGAGAATCTTAAGCAGGCTCGTGCACTGGGCTCGATCCCACAACTCTGAGATCCCACAACCTGAGCTGAAATCAAGAGTCAGACACTCAAACGACTGAGCCACCCAGGCGCCCCTCAACCTAAGTTTTAGAAGCAGATGATCCTTGAGGCAAAAATAGTTACAATAAAAAAAATAAATAATTCTTCGAAGGTCATTTCTGAGGCAGTAACATTTTGGATTTGGATGTTTTCTTGTCATGCCAGTGATTTATGCCATGAGGAAAAGCACACATTTCAGATTTTAATTTACTAGATAGTGTTTTACTAAATGAAGTAGAGTTCAGAATGAGGTAGAATAGTGAACATTGGTTTTTTTTTTTTATTTTCTTAATATTTGTTTATTTTTGAGAGAGAGAGAAAGAGAGTGAGTAGGGGAGGGAAAGAGGGAGAGGAAGACACAGAATCTGAAACAGGCTCCAGGCTCTGAGCTCTCAGCACAGAGCTTGATGCAGGGCTCAAACTCACCAACGGTGAGATCATGACCGGAGCCAAAGTCAGACGCTTAACCGACTGAGCCACTCAGGTGCCCCAAATATTATGTTTTTGCTGAGTAGATATATTGTTATCAAAGGGGGTCACCCTTTGATAATGGCTGGCCGCCATTTTGTTGTATGATCTTGGCTGCGAAATTGAGGTAAATGAAATTAAAGTTGGACTTAAAAAATTAGATTGTACATAAAAATAACTTCAATAATTCAGAAATTATCCAGAGTGCATGAGTAATCAGCTCTATGCTACTGGTACTTAATAGGAGTCAGTATAATGGCCAGAAAGGAGGAAAAATGATTTTGTTGGTTGTGTGCATACTCATTCTAAAATTCTATGTCGAGAGGGGTGCCTGTTTGGCTCACTCGGCAGAACATGCGACTCTTGATCTTAGGATTGTGAGTTGGAGCCCCATGTTGGGTGTAGAGATTTCTTAAAAATTAAAATCTTTAAAAACGTAAAAATAGGGACGCCTGGGTGGCTCAATCGGTTAAGCATCCGACTCTTGATTTCGGCTCAGGTCGTGATCTCAGGGTTCACGAGATTGAGCCCCTTGTGGGACTCCAGGCATGGAGCCTGCTAAAATTCTCTTCCCCCTCTCCCTCCCTCTCTGTCCCTCCCCTGCTCACATGTGCGCTCTCTGTCTCTCAAAAAAAAAAATTAATTGATTACAAATTTTTAAATTAAAGAAATAACAAAACTCTACCTCAAGAAATTAGTTATAGCAAAAAAAAAAAAAAAACCTCACAGCTGTGGAAACTGAGTAAGCTCGATTTTGTGGAACTTAACTGCTTCCTAACTATTTTCCTAAATAAAATTGGGTTTGTAAGTCCAAGGAGAGTCAGGGTCTTAGAAAGGTTAAGAGGAAAGCATGACGTTGTGACAGGCCTACCAACAATACCTACAACTTTTACACCAGTTACAAAAAAGTCACTCTCTCCGATTTGGATTAATAGATTAGTGAATTAATGACAAAAAGGTGTCCTTCTGGAAAATCTAAATATCAAAAGGCCCTCCCTGCTTTTGGCCGGACACTGTCTTGTGCAAAACCAGGACTTGGTTAATGGCACAGGGAGCTGGATTTAAAGCTTCTCCTCTTGCCTGCTTTCACAGGTACAACCTGAACTGCTAGATATCGTGATCCTGGTCTATGAACTTCAAACACAGGCTGTACCTCCTGAGACGTGCTGTGTGTGTGTGTGTGTGTGTGTGTGTGTGTGTGTGTGTACTTGTCAATAATGCCAAAGGCCTTTGACTTCTTTTCTGTTTGTTGAGCAACTTTTCCATTAGGGTCATACGTTTCTGTCTGCAAGTCCACTTAACGTGTTGTAAACACCTTTTAAAGAAATTTTTATGAAGAGACTACGTCGTGCTCTCATTTTATTGGAGGTGACTACTTGAGCCATGTGCATTGGTAGATCAGGAACAAATTTGGGCCTAGGGGAGTTCCAGTCTTGAAAAATATACAGATAGTCCTGGGCACCTGGATGGCTCAATCCATTGAATGTCCGACTCTTGATTTCCGCTCAGGTCCTGATCTCGCGGTTCGTGGGATTGCGCCCCATGTTGGGCTCTGTGCTGGCAGCGTGGAGCCTGCTTGGGATTCTCTCTCTCTCCCTCTTCGCCTCTCCCCCACTAGTTCACTATCTCTTTCTCAAAATAAATAAACACTTAAAAATAAATAGACATATACAGGTAGTCCTTTCGAATGTCCATTCAATCAGGCGATTAGGGTAGGGTGTGAAATTAAGCTCTGTTACTACCTGCTCTTGTATAATTAGAATGTACACGTTAATTTTGTTAGCCATGCTCCTTATTTTGAAGAGAAGCTGGATTTTATAAATGCTCAAAACAAGACAATCACTGAAAAGCTCCTTTTTTGTGTTCATTCTCCATAGTCGTCTCTTTGCTGCCAACTGAATGCATTCTTTCACCTTATTACTCTGTAAACTTTGATTGAACAAGCCCTTACCATTGTATCCAAAAAGGTGTGTGTGTGTGTGTGGTTTTTTTTTTTTGGGGGGGGGGGTTTGAGTCCTAAAAACTTCACCTTTCTTTGCACTAAGAATTGTGGTTAAAGAAGGGAGATAGATCCCTCAGCCTTTTCTCTCCAGGGAACGAACAAAGGCTCACTTGTTGGTAGAAAATTAACAGATTTATGTATGCTTCTGAACCACGCCAGTTTTCGGCTTAAAGCAGATTCAATGCATGTGGCACTTAACGTTTTCCACAAGTGTGTGCAATTGCCTCTGGCTTCATTTTCAGTATCGTAGTACTCATTTACCAGCTTCAAAACTCGAGCGCAGTGTTCCGTGGCCTTTAACACTCGGCACCTGTGTGGGACCATGCAGCTGATCGCAGTGTGAAAGAAGAGGGATGGGCTTCTCCTCGTGCCTAATTTAAAAGGAATCGCGAATTAACGATGTTATTTTCATTAATAGATTTTCCAAGAGGTAAAAAGCAGTGATATTGCCAAAACCTTCCGCAAAGCGATCAACAGGAAAGAAGGGATTTGTGCTCTGGGAGGCACTTCAGAGCTTTCCAGTGAAGGAACACAGCATTCTTACTCAGGTAATAGTAATAGTTTCGCCCGTGTTAGGCTAACACAATGAACTAAGTAGAATGCATGCTATAATGTCAAGGAGGGGACCGAGAAAAACATTGCCTCCTAATTAAGAATACAGTAGAAGCACTTTGTGGCCTGTATTCAACTCGGGATCAATTCTTGCCATAAAGGCATTATGACTATTTACTGTAGCTTGCGAGAGATGCTATAAGTAATAATTTCTTGTTATTCAACATAATTCTAGAGGAAGAAAAATACGCTTTTGTTAACTGGATAAACAAAGCTTTGGAAAATGATCCCGATTGCAGACACGTTATACCAATGAACCCAAACACCGACGACCTGTTCAAAGCTGTTGGTGACGGAATTGTGCTTTGGTAAGATGTTGGTTGATTTGATATCCAGGTTTCCCAAACAGTCTTCCACATGATTGATATATCTGTTTCTGGATGCTTGACATTGGGAAATAACTAGAATTGACAGTTGTCTCGGCTCAGGGGCGCCTGGGTGGCTCAGTCGGTTAAGGGTCCGACTCTTGATTTCGACTCAGGTCACAGTCTCCTGGTTTTTGGGTTCGAGCCTCATTTCGGGCTCTGGCCATTAGCGCAGAGCCTGCTTGGGATTCTCTCTCTCCCTGTCTTTCTGCCTTTTCCCCACGCATGCTCCCTCTCTCTTTCTTTCTCTCTCTCTCTCTAAAGAAAGAAAGAAAGAGGGGCTCCTGGGTGGCGCAGTCGGTTAGGCGTCTGACTTCAGCCAGGTCA